AACCTTAACTCTCAACATAATATTCATGAATGCATATTTTATTGGTATTGTAAAACTATATTAATTTTTATTCGATTAATTTAATATGTTAAAACAGTTTATTGCCAATTGTTTTATTTTATTATTTTTTCACACAGTTGTAGGTAATTATGTTAGTAAAAAAAAAACTAATGATTGAAAAGGAACAATGGCCGAAAGGGAAACGGTAAGTTTTGGCCAAAAAGTGAAATTGGCTGAAAGCCCGAAAAGGGGGCCACCCAACGAAATAAATAACAATTAATTAAAGATTAGTATTGCACTTTGGACCCTAATCTACTTAAACTAACATATCGACTAATTTGACTAATTGGATTTATCACCCTATATATGTTATAATATATTATTAAATTTTTATTTTTTTTTTCAAACAGGAAGACTTGGTCAGTACAACTTGTCGCGGTATAAAACATGTCAAATGCCTAAAAAAATTACAAGTCATACGAATCACCAATCGACAAATTTGATTATCGATAGCAGTGTATTGCACTCTCGCTCGATATGTAGGTCTGATTTAATTTCACCTAGCAGCAGATATTTTGGAGTGACTGATGGCGGATTAACTGCAGAAACTTCAGATATTGAATACACTCAGTCACTGACAKTACCTAGACGAACAACCCAAAGTGACAATTTTGATATTCCGAATATGGAGGCCAATCAACATATTTACGTGCCAGAATACGATGTTAGTCAAAAACTTGAAGATTTTGTGGTCAACAGCACTCCTCGTCAACTTATTAAACCTCAACCGTTTGCAACGACACAAGCCTGCAGGTGATAATGTCTAACGGTTAGACTCTAACCTATTCTATAACATTCATTGTTAAATGTGGAAAATCTGCTTCCACCATTTATACATTTAAGACCTACTAAACAGTAAACTTGACGTTTGTGAAACTTTCCCCCTCCCTACTCAAACCAATTTCYTAGAAATCATATTTAACCATTTTGCAAAAAATTAGCAAATAATATMCTGAACTGTTGTAGAAGAAATAAGATTGGCGGATGTAATACATTGCGCTACCACCAACGTCAGTAACCATTAAAATACATTGCTTTTTTTTAATCAATAATTAGTAGGTACTAGGTACTCGTTTGGCATGAAATTGTACAAATAATTGTAAATTATCAACAAAAAGTTGTGTAGGTTTTGCATTACAAACTATGGACGTGTGCTTATAAATACTTATGACTGTGCAATAAAATTGAACACGGTCTAAGTTCAAATAAATTACGTATGACTTATACTTTTGTAAGGCGTAATTTAGGTAGGTATGACTTAAAAGCTTTTAATTTCCACACACCATTTTGGCACAATCAAAACTCAGAAACGAGTAACGACAAAGCAGCCAAGTTATGATAAAGTTAGCCTCGGTATATAGGTACTTTTATGGATAAGTGAAAACGGTTGAACTTACAAATCGCTTATTACTTATTTAGAAAATYTAATTAAAAATGTTAAATATAAT